AACTGGTATCCAGGATTTCTAATTTTTCTATCTAGGTAGCTAAAAGATCTAAAGTAAGAAAAGAATGAATTGTCATAAGGGGATCCAAAGAGATTCATGCCAACAAAATGGTGCTTATATCATAAAAAAGTTTCTCACTTGTTCTTTTGAAATGAAGTAAAGAGACAAGAAAAACACATTTGTCGGAAGCAACTCTGAGAGCCGTAGAGCACTGAAGAGCATCTCTGTAATCCACTAGGGATTACCGAGATCAAGGAACATAGTTGCAAGATACAGCTCAACGTCTGTGCAGATTTAAGGTAGCTATTAGTTTTGTTCTCACTTCTATGCCCTCCCTGTGGTACACTCTACCTTACACAATGGTTACTTTGGAGAAAAAAACCTCAGTTTAGGCTTTTAGAAATGTAAACTTTCAGTGGAACCATACATCAGCATGACTGCTGATTTTTTCAAGTGGCAAGGGCCTCCTTATAGATGTATGCTTATCAAGGCAGGAGGTCTATACATAATTAAAATTGATTACTTGCTCAATTTTCAACTTTTTTTTTTTTAACTGGTATGGTTTGTTGCATTTGCTAAAAGTGCATTTGTGATATGGGATGCCCTTGCATTTAAATACAGGCTTTTATAACAAAAGTGATTGTCTAATGTAGAAAAGAACCATGGTTGTGCTACAATATAATGTTAGACAATGTCCATCGCAATAAAAAGGTTTTATTTGTTGACTATAAATAAGCCAGGATAAAGTAAATTACACTGATTCAACTTAATTTAGTGGCAGGGCAGCAATGAACCATTAAATCATATCAAGTACTTAGTGTTAAATATTGTTACATGTGGTTAATTTTGTCATTTCTTTCAGTGGAGCATCAACGAGCAGTACCAATGATTTTCAAGTATTCTTACAAGATTACATCAAAACACAAAAAACTACGCTAAGATATAGAGTGGAACAAGATACGACTAACAAAAATCAAATATCTGCCCAGGAAAAAAAGATCAAAATGAGCCCAAAAGAAATCTAACAAAAACAAGGTTAAGTTTAGAACATTTTAGAACATTTCATCATAACACTTTGCCCCAAAGTTTCCAATAAAAAAAGGAAAAAAGAAAGAACAAAACAACATATTTACCCACAAGAAATTTAGAGCACACTGAAACTTCAAGGAACAAAGTGTGAAAAGATGAAAACAAGTGCACTTCTTCCCTTACTATCATCATTATCTCAACTTAATGTTTAAGCATAGGCTATAGATGATTACTACAGCTGCTTTGCTGTGTGAACGCACAATTAACGCAATCTTACATCAACTGATCCATCTGCATATATTTTATGTGCATATTGTGTTTTTGTATTCTAAGGACCAGTGTGAAGTTGTATGCCAGGTGTCTGTTTCACCTGTTTCTGTCCCCTTATTTAGTCCAGGCAGATATATAACAGACTGCCACTCAAGTCATGACCTTTTCTTTTGCCTTCTCACCTGCCAACCAAGGGTCAGGACTAATGAGTGGCAGGTCAGTCAATTGGGAAGCTAGGTCAAACAAAAGGTCCAGGTGACATCCTCCACACACACACAGCCCTGCCATCAGCAGGAAGCAAACCTCTGATATTGTGCTTGAATTAAAAAAAAAAGGGGGGGAAACTTTAATAGGAAAATTCCACAAAACAGCTGAATGTGTTGGTGCGTGGATGTGTGTGTGCGCACGTGTGTGTGTGTGAGTAATGGCTGTAAGGTCAGAAGCAATATCGTAGGCCAAGTCACAGCGGGAACAGGACAGAGAGACAAAGAGCAAGCCATGCAAAAACATTCTTAAAACATTTGACAGATCCATCCCCATGCAATATATGCTTGAATAATTTGTGCAGACTGTGCTATCAGTCACTACGTTTAATGATTCTCCAATGTGTTTGACAAATGTTGTGTGATGTGTGATGAAATAAACCAATCCATTAAAACACGGGGTAAAATTTAAGCTTATACCTTTTATCTGTACAATTATGCACGCACACAAGCGAGAGCAAAAATGGCTCCTGCCGTTTTATTAAACCTGTTCTCGCTCCGATATTTCTTTCTTAATGACATGTATAAATGAATAAGACGGCGTTCCGTACTACGCAGTTATATCCGCACTGTGATGAAACGACACCATGCACCTGAAACTAAAGAACATATTAAATTTGAAATGAGACGGAAAAATGTATCAAAGCAAATTGACTTGCTGTGAGTGAGTTTGCTTTATGGCCTCTTTCTTGTACTGTATTTTTTGTCGTTCTTTAGATTTTTTTTTATTTTATTTCTTTTCTTTTTTAAATTTTAAACACAGGATGCAAAACACTGCTCTGATCTCTTTTCGCTTCACTGCTTCTACTGGAGCTTTGGGGCTTTGTGCACTGACTGTTTACTTTTTAGCAGGCACACAAATGCAATGTATTGGCTAAGTGCCAGGTAACCAGGCCAACAGTCAACAGTGTAATCATAGGGTGTATGTGTTGATGTGTTGACATTTTTATGATCCATGACTGGAATTACCACTCCACTAACAAACTCCTTACAGACACATGCACATACCCACACCATGGAGGGTGAAGGTGCTGAGATAGTCTGAAAAGGCGTTCGCTCTGTTTAAATATTATGAAAACATAAAATGAATATATCTGCACACTGACTAAACCTGTTTACGTTGTGTGGGAGAGAGAAACACAGTAATATACATGCTGTAGTTCTATGAGTTTAAATCCAGATTTTTTTTAAAATAATTTTTAACCAGGAAATTTTGACTGACAAGTACGATGTGTGGGCAGAATCAACTCACAATACATGTGAAGCATCTTAACACAAAATGCAAAACACTTTACTCTTACTTGCATAGCGCATAACAGACTATCACTAAAATAATCTAGACCTCAGTCTGTAAACATGCTGTGGAAATTTCTTCACAGTTTGTGGTGCTGAAAATGGTATCAGGGTACATAACACCAGATTCTGTACGTTTGATTAGAGGATTAGACCTGGACACTTTGATAACACAGCAAGTCTATTCCGCGCTAGAAGCCTAGGAAGTTAAAATCAACGTCAGGTTATCAGTCATACCCAGGGAAGCAGAGTAGTGCGGAGAAGAAAGATTTAGGAAGGGAATTCTGTATCTAATCCAAATCACAAACTAGAAGTGTATTTTTTTTTCTTTTACCTGAACCATTATTTGTTACAGCTAATTTCTCAAGGCAGTAATTGCAGGTATACTTATTTGATTTTTTTTCTGACAATGAATAACATTTTTGAAGCCAGTTCTTGCAGGCAATCACAATAGCACAGTGTTTATCGTATATCCCTAAGTAAAAACATGTATGTCTTTTTATTTTTAAAGATTTTTCTTTATATAAGGATAAAACAATGGGCTAATTAATGAGCTTTAGAAGTTCTGGAGATTGCCTTTTTGAACCTGGACAGTGCAAAGTTATGTTTCCACAGCCTTCCTACCATTATTTAAATACAAATCTCACTCACCACCTGAAGTTAATCAAATTTAAGTTTATCCACTGGTGGTTCCTGCTGCATATGCACTTGTGGACACAAGCATGCTAACAAACAAACGAGAAATTTCCTCAAAAATATTTGTTTTTTTTGTGTTTTTTCTTTCAAGTCGCAGTTCAATTAGCTAGTTTTAAGTAAACAGTGAAATTTGTATCAGCCAACAAAATGTAGTCTGAAAAGTTCTTCCTAATTGCACCAACTTTAAAAAATTCTACCTTTTCAACTTTTTTTTTACTTTAAAGTTCTTTAAAGTTTCGTTTGCTTCTGGTATCTTTTCTTTCATCCAAGCCTGATTAGACACTCTGGCAACCTCCAACATTTGGCTTTAGATCAACTCAACCTAATCCCCCTGCCTGTCTGCTGCTACCTACAGTGAGCCTCTGTACATACACCTACATGTATGCTCAGTAGCACCTACACAGTAATACAGATGGGACCTGGATAAAAATTCTCTCCCTTTCCTTATTGAATGACCTATTTTTCCTGCACATTGGCATGGATTTAGTATTCAAAATGTGACAAATGTCATAACCCCATTCAAATTCACTGAGCAGGTGAACAACTACAGTTAACTGTATAAGAAAATTAAAGTAAAGGTACACAGAAACAACAAGTCTGCAGGTCAAACATGTGCAAGTCAAGACAAACTCACTGTAAGTCAAACAAGTTCCACTACATTACAGAGCAGAGGGAAAAAAAATGTGCAATAACTGAGACAGTTAACTGTCAAATCTTTGTGTGGCACTCCCATCTGTAACTTATCCATGTGCTATATATATATATATATATATATATATATATATTAGTATAAACTTTATTATTACCATTATTATAATCATGAAAGTGTTGTAAGCTGTTGTAAGAGAAAGAGAGAGAGTGGGGGATGTAAACATTTGTGTTTGATTACATTATTTACCTAAGTGAAGGAAATGGACCAGTCTAAATATTGCATCAACCGCCCACATGGAGCGAGAATGGCTTTATACACAGATTGTGCATGTTTGCTTTCACCATATCAGGCAAAAAAAAACAAATTGTGCCAGAGTAAATAAAAAAGTGTGTGCATGTGTGCATGAAGGGCTGTATCAATTATCACCGCTTTAAAATCAAATTCTACCATGTTCAGCGAGGTGACATGGAAGCAGATGGTGTACAACATAATTAAGGTCAATCTCTGACCCCTTGTTCCTCTTGTGTCATGCTGTCCGAATATATTTAATGTTGTTGTTTTTTATATGTAGTTTAAATGCTGAATACTCCTAGACAAATGTAAATTGTGAATTCAGTAATATTTTCCATCTGGTATTATAGATATCAGTGTATGCATGTATTGCAAAATATTTTCTGATGGTATTTAAAAATTATAATATGCAAAATTCTGCAGAAATAGCACTCAGTTTCTGAAATTGTGTTTCTCCTGCTCTGTGTAAATAGTCAACAGTGGTCAACAAAGTAAAATTGTGTTACTCATCACATCTGTAGTCATCACTGAAGCTAAACCCACGGGGATCAACAAAAAGATGTTACCTGCAACAGAGAATGAGAGAAAAGACAGCATTAGACGAGCGATGCCTGCATCAAATGAGCTTCCACATGTTGCACATGGATAATTATCTTACTGCGATAATCAATTGTGAGTTTGCAAAAATAGAACTGATAGAGGTTGCCTTGTGTTTACAGCAAACGCGGCTTGGTGGATTTAATTTCCTTTTCGGTAAAATATTGCACACTGTCATAATCAAAAAGGAGACAAAGCAAGCTGGATCATATTTAATCCACTATTTATTTTCATAACGGGCAGGAAAACAGTTAGTTGAACAACAAAGGGTTAAGCCTGTCAGGTGAGAACCTGTCTTTATCCCTACTTTTTGTTTTCTTTTTTTTTTACTAGACAGACTGGATGCCTATTTGGGTTGGCAGTAGCAGCTAAATGCAATCTCCCAGTAACAGAGGTCCTGCTGATGTTTAACCCATTCAGGACGGTGGAGCAGGGAAATCAATCACAGTGTTAGAAAATATATTTATATATCCTGCCAGCTGCTCCCTAACAACGATTCCTGTGCCTGGCTGACATGGAAAGGAAACCCATGGGAGAGACAAAGAGGTCAAACTCATTTAGGGAACATTGGAAAATGTCACACCAAACATTGTGTTTAAATTGGTGAAGTCTTTAAATGCTTGAACTGTGGTCTTAAAAAAGGCTGCAATTATTATAAAATGACACAAAAAATATGGATTTAGGAATGTAGATTTAAAATGTCCCTCAGAGCATTAGAGCAGTTTGGTAACACGTATGACCGTGGATTGCCTGTGCTCTGATACAATCCTCTGGAGCCTTTCCTAAATTTGTGCCTTTCCCAACAACAGAGGATTATGCACATATTTTGCACAAATGTAGTTTTATTTATTTTTAGGCAACGGGTGAAGGGTCTTGCCCAAGGACACAACGACCTGAGACTGTCCAAGCCGGGCCTCGAACTGGCAACCTTCCGATTACAAGGCGAACTCCCAACTCTTGAGCCACGATCGCCCCGTGGATAAATAAAACAGGCTTGAGGTTAGATACAAAAGTGACTTGGACAGATTTAACAAAGGGAGTTTGGGTTAAAACAAAACTTCCACATTCAATGTCAAGTGTTATTTTCTGGGGGTTTTTTCTGCCAGTGCATTGTCCATTATTAAAATTCAATGCATGGCTAGTGAAAAACATCCATACTAAATGATTAAAAAAAATTATTATAAATCATATTTACCAATAATTTTTTACAGTTGTTTTTTTTGTGGGGTTTTTTTTGTCTGTTTTTCGTTGCTTTTACTGTGACGAATGTTGAATGAACAATGTTAGAAAAGGGAAACAAACAGCAGCCTGATCCATCCTAACCTACACAGACTTGATAGTTCTGTAACTATTTAACCTTATTTACACCGTTTTCCAGAGGCTTTTAAGTGATATATACAAAGATTACATAGATATAAAAAGTAGACACCCAAACTTTTAACTCAAACTTATTAAAATACATGTATTTTACATGTCAAATTTTAGCCATGTGTGTAGCATTTTCCCAGTAAGCGGTTTCAAAAGAATATAGCACTATAGTAAACAACTGCTAGTAAAAGCTCACTCATGCAGTTATTTGGAAAACGTTTTACCTAAAGGTCATGTCATTGTCAGAGGATGTTACCCCCAAATATTCCTGGCCTTGAAAATTATTTGAGGCAGAGACTAAAAGATACTCTTTGAGACATGCTGTGGTTTCAGAAACGTGCTTCTGAGAACATGTTTATTTAAAATGTATGACTGCTGAAACCTGACAAAAGAGAGTCGCCATCTGAAACTAAAGGGACTGTCAGGAAGAAACACAACCATGACCCTCGGCCCCATCATCAAGGATAAGCATCTCTGGGTTATTTCAAATTCTGTTTATCAGCCTGGTTCTCTCATTTGCCTTTTCTCTTTTATCTCTGTGTCTTTTCTTCTTTTTTGCACAAATAGCGTGGATGTGGTGCAGTGTTGATCTCCCTCGCAGTGCTAATTAATTGTGACTCAGGGCCACGAAACAAGCCTCTTCATTTTGAACACTGAGCAACCCAGTGTCCAGCACTCACTGCACTTGGTTTTAATGAGTCTCTCTAAAGTCCCTTTACCTCTACTGTTTTCTTTTCTGTTGTGTTTTTTTGTTTATCTTACATTTCTTCTCAGTTCGTCTCCCTCTGTCAATGGGCATTCTTTGGCATTGCCTTATAAACAAAATATTTGACGCCTCTATCACTAGGGCAATATTCTCAGCAATGGTATAGTCAATGATTGTTTTCCTGATGGCAAAAAGGGGGAAAAACACATTACCACTACTGCTCTTTGTGCTTTTACAGGATTAATCCAGAGCAGCAGCAACATTTTACAGCCAAAGCTGTTAAGGTTCAATAATATTGGCAAGAGGAGTTAAGATCTAAACACACAGACAGAGTAAGCTAAGTTACTACATAGTTGCAGGTGTTTTAGAAGCAGGAGGCAACGAAGACACAGTCAAGCAGAAAGGGCAAGAATGCAAAGATTTTGTGATATTATTGTGAAGTAGGGAGCTAATGACTAAGCTATGCAATTCACAGCTGTTCAAGAAAGAGACTTATGATCGGCTAAGTTGCAGTAGGTTGGTTGGTGTAAGTTGGTGTAGAAAACTTTGAGTGTCAAGATGCCATTGTGACAAATCTTGCCATCACGTTCCCTTTCTTGGATATGGGGCACGCTCTTTGCAGTGATTTAAAATACGAAATCAAAATACACCACCGTTATGCCCAAAAGAAAATACAATTTTCTTTTACTCTAGATATAAATGTGCTTTGATGACCACGTAGCGTCCAGATTTAAACTGACAATTGGATGCACTGTTTGAACACTTTAAGGAATGTTATTTATTTTTCTTTGTTTGCACATGATGTAATTTTTATGAAGTATATATAAGCATATGAAACCAAAAGACAGCCCAGGGTTGACAGCCAGACTTCATTTCCATACCATCTGCACCTTTCAGTGTAAAAAAAAAAACAGCATGTACATAAAGAATCACTACGTAATCAATACTACGATCCACAAAGTTGCTGTGCTGTGCAGCTCTGTGAATTTTTGGTAGAAGGGGTTTGGGGTAAGATTCCGGAGACCGGTGCCACTGCAATAATTTGGGCTAATATTCCTAACCTATAGTACTATGGTCAAAGTGGGCTGGCCTCGGCCCCTATGCCTCCTCTTCTTCTCTCTCCTTTTACAGAAGGAGAACAGCCAATATGTGCCAGAGCAACATATCCTTCCCTCAGATAATGGAATTGCCTGGCTGTAATAATAATTTGAATTTCACACTCTGCTGCCTCGTGCAGAGGGATCGCTGGAGCAATGGCATAAATTAGCCTCCATGCACGGAGCTGATCGATGACTGCCCAGTCCACCACCTATTGATCTGAAACAACTCCTAGGGATGCAAGTGTACCCTGCATCTGTGCACACATACACATCCACACCACAGTTTTCTTCACCAAAACTTAGCAGGAAAGGGTAAATGATGTAGAGATGAGAGAGAGATTAAAGGAAAAAAAGAGAACAAACATTGATTTGGATTGATTTCTAAATGCATTTGGAACTCAACTGGAAGGGTGGAATGCCATCTTTTCAAAAGGAATTCCCTTATATTGTAATTGGGAAAAGTGGAGCGTGCGAGGCAGAAGACCCATGTACTGTGTGTGTGCAAAAACTTCAAATGATGTTCATCTGCTTTGAGAACTTCTGAATGAAATGACCATAGCATGCAATTCTCATTATTTTCATACTCATCAAACACTATCATACTGAAAGAGACCATAACAACCTTATCCGCATAAAGATTTTTTATCACTGCATAAAGGCAATCTGTCAGATTATGTACAGATTTGAACGACCCTTTCACCAGCCTTTTAAGAGAACAAGTGGATCCAAACCATGCAAGCAAAATGCTCTCCGCAGGAGAAATTATGAGTGCTTCACAGTTTTCCTTTAATTTGTCACATATCAGTATTTCCTAATTAATGCTGCATCAAGTTGGACTTTTTAAAATATAGAAAGCATTCATAATATATTTTTATAACAAGAGAATATAATATGCATGTTTACGTGCTTCTGCTTAACTGTCTCCAATTTACATAAACATTTTATGGTGGTCGTTTCAGTCATTATGCAAATGTCCTGTTTAAAAGGTTGGGGAAACCTGCAATCAGCTGAGACTGAAGAAGTCACTCATATGAGTGACGAAACATTTCTCCCACTGAAGACGCGACGTCCAGATGAAAGGGATCAACTTTTTCAGGATTCATGAGCAGTGATTTCAAACAGATACTTAAAACAAAATCCTATTGGCTAGTTTAAAAAGAAATCCTGAACATGAAATTCTTAGTAAAAATGCTATTTTCATTCAACTTTCATGCTGGCTTCAGTTGTACCACAAAAACAAAAATACCAATAGACAGTTTAATTTAAAAAAATAGTTTATGGAAGAAGAATAGCAAATAGCAAAACCCTAAACCTTAAGAGTAATGAAGACGGGCTAATTTAAATAGTCTTGTGAGGCCAAGGTGTTGTGTCCACATGCCGTAATTGGTAGTCTGATACAAGATGGTTAACCAAAACCCCTAATCCTAATCTTAACACTGCTAGACAAAAACAGGGGTTAGGCAATCAGTATGCTAATACTGCAGGAATTGGAATATAAATGAATATGCTATATTGTTGCGTTTTAATACTTCTTAGTGTATTTTAAACTTAACCTGAATTATAAAACTGCTGCAGGACAATAGGTCTTGAAAGGGTAAATAGATGAGGTCTTGAAATTGAAGAATACGCACATACTTAACAAAATGTGTTCTGTTCGATACCTAATGATATGTTTTTGGTTTAGTTGTTTAACCTGCTTAATCCAGCATTGAAGTTAAAGGAAAATAACATTTTCTTCATTTTTCCAACAAAGAATTTTATGTTAAGAACAATTCTATGTTTTATTTTACATTAT